TTCATGAAACTACAGCTTACAAGAGGATTTGTAAATCGAAACATAGCAGGAGACAGAAACACTGGAGATTAAGACAGGGAGTGAGTTAGACGGAGCTGGTAGAAACTAACTATCCTGTTTCACAAAAAGAACACATTGACCTATAACAGGGGAGCATTATTGAATTTTGCATGTGTTTACATCTCACTACTGACATCTCATGATCAATACATCACACCAATGTGTAGTATCTGGAAAGAAGCAATCACACATACCCTATGTATGCAACGACTTGTTCAACTGTGGCTTATTTCTACCTCTGCTGTAAAAGCCCTGCAGCCTTGACAGAGAGGAAAAAAATTGAGAGAGCAGGAAAGAGACAAAAAGCCTAAGACAGGAAGATCATTTTACTGAGATATGGATATTCAATAAAAAGTGTTGAAAGGCTATTAAATCCAATTATCTTAAGCAAGCTGTGTCAAGAATGATGCGAGTCCTTATCGTTGATATGTTTGGAGACAGCTGTACGTCCTTTTTTGTTAGCGCTCCTCAATGTCAATGAGGAAACCATTGATCTTCAGTCATATCCTGGCCACCTACATTTAAACACCACCAATGTTAAGATGAAAATCCAACGCACTTCTTTTAGACAACAACACTTGAAGAAGGCTTCATTTATGCCGTAGCTCAGTACTTTCCAATGTAATTACCTTTCAGCAAAGAAAGATTTGAAATCATTCATTTATTTTCAATCATCCTCAAAGGCAAACGATTCAGCTCGTCCAAGGCTGAACAAGTTGAAGCCATTAGCCGAGACTGAATAGCAACATATGGTTGAAGGGCGTCTTTCCACAGAGAGAGAACTCAATTAACACTTGACACAATAACCACAACTCTCTCTCCATCTCATCAACCGGCTGTGGACAACAGATGAGTCTTTATCCACCATAACTGGATGAATAAATACAGAAGAGCTGTTGTTTTAACCCACTGAAGTCCATTATGTGTTGTTTTTTTTATGTTTTTAAACCAGTGGGGAATCAATCAATCATGTGGCCTATCAATATAATTGCAACAATAACAACATAAAAAAGGACAGCTGCCAGCTGGAAGGGCTCTATTTAGCAGCAGAGATGGGATGTGTTGTAGTCCATTATCAGGTTTAAAAGACCATAACCAGGTTTTATGCATCCTATTTATTATCTTCATCTCATCTCTCTTCCCGCTTGGCTTGTTAATGTGTTAGTGCCTCGGTGGTGAAGATATGGGATAAAGACTGGACAGAGGCTGTAAAGATACTAACACATGATATGGTCTTCAGCTGGACTGGCTTTACTATGCAAAGTACTATTTAGGTCGGCCAATTTAACCTTAGGGTGGTGAAACTTAGTGGCACCAAAGTCAGTAAGAGGCATCCTCTGGGGAGCATGAATGTATGTACCAAATTTCACAGAAATCTATTTGACAGTTGTAGAGAAGTTTCACTAAAACTCAGAAGACTTGACGTCAAGAGGAAAAAAATCAGGGATGCAGGGGTCCCGACCTCCTGATCCTTCGCTCAGACTTTTATTTCTCACCTGAAACTGCCTCTTCCAGTCAGACAAAGCACACTAAAATACACTCATTATAGAGGCTTACACACAAACAACAACAACCACACACACTGACCTGTCAGGTGAAGCATCGCTCAGTATTCTGATGAACACTCACTGGTCTCTGCTCTATCACTCTCACTTTAATTCTACATAATAGAGGCCAGGTCATTCATTAGCCTCCTTTAAACCGTCGATTGGAGGAAGAAAGGGAAGAGTGAGAGAGTGTGAGTCCGAATGGGAGAGAGAGAGACACGCAGCCTGTCTCAGAGTTAGAACTGATAGGCCACTAAAGCCTTTTTATGCCACCATGATTTAAAGCCGTGCCGTTCTTTCACTGCTGGTAGTTAAGAGGGAAATAAAGTCTGCTTAATCTTCTACTTAATCTTACACTCGCAACCTTCCACATGTCAAAACGCACTCGCACAAAACCATACACTGCTTTGGATGACATTTTTATTGCATGTTTGATATGTATATGCCCATTATGCCAAGAGTGTCTCATTCTCCTGCCTGTCTGTTTCATTCTTTAACATCTTTCTTTGTGTAACCCTTTTTATACATGTTTTATTTTTACTTGAGACTTGTCTCTCTTTGGTTTCTTCTTCTATCTTCCTTACACAATGTTCTAGGATCTGAAATGATTTCTATTTGCTGCAAACAAACAGTGGACCATACATTGTAGATCATTCTGTCAGAAAGATCTTCATTTATTATTTATAGGCACAAACAAGTAAGAAAATATTTGAACATAACCATTTGGGTTATTAATCTTGCTGACAGAATTGTATTTTATATGGAATATTGTTTTCATTTGATCATGTTATTTTAGATATTGGTATTGTTTTATTTAAAGCTGCATAAAGTGCACTGTGTAACATTTAGGATCTGTTGGTCTAGACAGGGCCTTTTTTTTGAGAGTTTCGCTGCCACCATAGTTTCTCCTACATGCTGAGTAGTATATATATATATATATAGTATTTTCATCAGTAGATATCACTAAATCCTACACACTGGTGTGAAAGGGAGAGAATAAACACACAACACTGAATTTCCCCACTGCTTTCCACCTGAGCCTAGCGTCTGTCAGCTCATTGTTTGGGTTTTCTAATTAAACTTTTCTAATTTTATTTGTATAGCGCCAAGTCATAAGAGAATTTATCTCAGGATACTTTTCAAATAGAGCATAGACCGTACTACCTATAAAATTATTTACAGAGACCCGACAGTTCCCACCAGTTTTACAGCTTGTAACTTTACCGCCTGGTTCACTCTTACTGCTTTAATCAGTGTCACTTTCAGCTGTTTACGGCAAAAAAATACTCTGATAGAACCCACTGCACACGACCTGCCCGGCACCAAACAGCACGCAGACAAAGTTTAAAACTAGCTGGTGAAGAAAGTGCAACAAACACATGAGCAGAAAAGATCATTAAAAAAGGCAAATATTTGACTTTGAATACTGCTCATGCTGCTCTGTGTCTGCTGGCTGAGTAAACAGGCTGCTTGCTAACAAGTTTATATGGTTGTAGGGAATATGGCAAGTGGCCAAAAAGATCCGTCACACTTAAGCCAAATAAACTTTTGTTTACTTAGTTTATATGTTACTTATTATATACTTTATTTTTCTGTGTATTCGAAGCTCTGCCTTCTGTCATTCACCAGACACCCACACCCTCCACCAGAAATAAACTCCTCAAAACAAACTGTCCAACAAACTTTCTCTTCTCATTTTAGCAACCATGCAGTAGCAGCGTAAAATATATTAACAATTATGACAAACTTGAAAATGTTCTGAAATATTATCCAGATGTAGACAGTAATAAGTGAGTTGTAAATGTAAAACATAATGATCTCCATTAAAAATATTTTTTCCCCCAATCGTCTCTCTGTTACCGCTGTGCACACACACACACACACACACACACAGCTTATTGGCCTCAGGGCTGTAGTTGCCCTGGAGAATTTCAGTATGCGTCACTTTCCATTTTGTTTTCCGAACAGAATGTGTGTGTCTGTGTGTGTGTGTGTGTGTGTCATTGTCGGTCTGTCTGTAAGAGATAATGAGGCAGTGTGTGCTTCGCTCGGGCTAACCCCTGGACTACACCATCACATCCTGCGAACTGGCAGCTAAAGTGGAAAACTGGGAGCACATTTTCTAACTGTGTCACATTGCTGGACTCGGTTCTGCAGCAACACGTCCATCCCAAACGGGGTTTCAACGTGTTCCTCAAACCTCAACAATGACGAGCCTATAGTGCCAGGAGGAATTATTGCTGTCCGACCGCCGTGTGTCTCTTTATTGGAGGTTGCCAGGATGTGACGCAGACAGATTTAGATTAGATTTTATTTGCTTTAAACACTACAGACTAACAGACTGTGAAAACATTGGAAATGAAACACTTAGCGGCTGCCTTTTTCCATCTTGCCATTATACAGAAACAAAGTTTGATGAGTTGGTTATTGCAGTTCATGCAAAATTCATTCACAAACATAATAGAAAATCAAAACAAACACAGGAGTCAATTGTTTTTCTTCTCACACCTCTCGCAGTCTATTTCTTTATCTTCTGCGTATCACTAAATTTAGCAAATCGAATTTGGTTTACCAGTTCACGGTTCAGGTAGCGATGATGTTTTCATTTTATTTTCTGATAATATGAAATATAACCTCTCTTATGTCAACAAAGACCCAATGTTAGTGTGATGTAATAATTCAGTTTCTGTCTTGAACACAAGAGCAGTGTAGCTGCTCCTCTCCAATGCACTAGCATGACAAAAATGGACGTGCAGTCTTTTTCTTAACATGTTCGAAGCTTCACTTCATTTAAAAAAAACGTTCAAGGTACATATGTGCTTGGAAATGCACACACAATTCAATTCACACTCAAGTTTTAAACAGGGTAGTTAGAGAACACATGAAAGGTACCCAGTGCAATCACAGTCTGAGCTGCAGGCTACTGAGCAACTGCACTCCAGCAGGTTGCCATTGAGTGCCTTGCCCAAGGACACCTCACATACTTATAGATGGGATGTACATATAAGTCACCATATCACATAATTCATCCAGAAGATTTTAAAATGTGTTTTAAAGAGTTTTAATCAATGACATTCTGAATTAAACACAAAGTTTTTTTCCAGAGCCGATGATGGAAGAAGCTAGAGAGAGAGAGAGTTACACATGCACAGTGCTGATTGGGTACAAGGGACGGATCAGGCACAGACAACCCAATTCAGTGTGTCCAAACATATTTACTGTGAGGGAAATGTTCTCCAAAGTCTGTTTCTGTTGGGTTGCAGCTGTCCTGGTTCACACTGCCAGTACAGCTTAAAACAGAGCACCCCACTCTCAAGCATATACCGTAACGACTTTTCTTACTTGAACTTAAAAGGTGAAAGCTTTCAAAAGAGGAGGGGCCGTCTTTCTTACCTTCTTCTTGGACTTGAAGACGTTGCAGCGGAACACATTACTCTGTCCATCTCTGGCTATGTAGCTGAAAATCTTCAGATCCTGGGAGTCATGAGATACATAGAATATCCTGAAAGATAAAGATAAAATAGGTCAGAAATTAGAAAAAAATAAAAATCTTAATAGGATGCAAAACAGAATCAGAGCCTGGCAGCGTTTCTGAATGTATCTTAAGACGCAAAATAGGCACCCAGCCCGTTTCTCTGGGGGTTTCAGTGTGACAAAAATAAACACTATTTTAAGCCTGTTTTAATCCAAAGGCAAGACACCAAATTTTTGCTCTCAAGCTAAAGAGTGGGGTAAAGAAAGTTGTGATTAGATTAGAAATTAACTGCAAGGAACAGACTTCCTCAGAGATATCTATGTGACTTTGAGAGAGGAAGCTCAGAGACACACATTGAAAGCGAGGTAAACTTTAATTCAAAGTTTTTAAAAAATACCTCAAGTGACAACAGTTTTACATTTCAGTGTGAGGAGGAGACAGGGGAGGTTAATACTATTACAACTAAAAATATCCTGTGTGAAAGAGGATGCAGGGGGAACTAAGTTTGAGACAATAATAGAGTTCTCTTGGTAGGGAGAGACTGTGCAACCAACAGTGAAGCTACAAACAATATCCTGCAGAGCAGGTAAATAGGAAGAAATAAGTTTGGGACCAAAAGGGAGAGCAAAAGAGATAGCACACAATAACGTGCAAGAGGGAGAACATTGTATGAGTTAAGCTCCACACCGGATCTAATTTATGATGACAAAAGAACACTGCTGGGGAGATAAAGCACTGCAGGTGACAATATGGTGACAAGACTGAAAGCAAGAAGCTGGAAATTGTCGTGTTCAGAGTCCAAGTGGGAGAGGGTGGGATCAGAAATCAGAACTTTCGTCAATAATCTACAGTGTAGAAGGCAGGACTTATACAGTATCTGGTGACCCCAGCTCTTTGATTTTATCCAGAAATCAGCTGTGTGTGTGGACATTGCCTTTCCATGTGTAAGTCACTTGTATAGTTAATACACTGGTTGAGAACATTGTTGCTGCATGGGTTCACAGGCAATATTTCAATATTCTACAACAGGAGGAAGTGAAATGTTTTCCAAAGCATATTATGTCCACATCAGACTCCGTGGTTCACACCAACAATATTCAAACAATCCTTCCCTAACCCGAACCAAGTGCTTTGAGTTGCCTCAACATAAAAAAACATTTACTGATCTTGCTTCGGGTACCAGGATGGGATATTGTTGGAAACCTTGACACATTCTGGACTGTGGCAGTGAACATTTATATATAACATATATGTTTAATGTATTTGTTTCATCGTTAAGTAGACTAAAAAAAGAAAAAGAGTGCTTTGCTAATGGAATTCCCCCTTTCCCCACAGTGAGATTTAACATTCAAGATGAATTGATGATTGCAATACTTAACATGTATTCCTCGCCCTGTATAATCAAGTTATAATTATGAAACCAGACTTGCAGAAAGCGTCACTGTGGGAATTTGCAAGGAGAAAAAAAGGAACAGCTTCACAATACAATCGAAAACACAGCTCCCAGTTTGAAGAAGTTTCTAAAATCTACATAGCAATGAGCTTCACGCTTGATTCACTCATGTTTTGGCTGAAACCTGAAAAATTTTCATTAGAGCATAACGACCAACCTTATTACTATGACGATTGTGCCCCCTTTTTGCCTTTTTCAAGCTTATTATGAAGAAAGTTGAAGCCTTTTTCAGACCTTACAAAGAGATGCAGACTTCATTAATAAAAAGATTTTTATAAACAGCAATTGAATGGGCAAAGGGGCAAAAAGGAAGCTCTCTATAAAAGAAAGATTCCTAAATCATTATTACAACCTTTTATCAGTGTACTCAGACCAAAATAGCCTCCTCCATGCTATACATGTTACATCTGTGACCTGGAAGGCTTCATCGGAGCCTGATGAGTAAGCTCATCAGGCTCAAAAATTGGATTATTATTGTAAAACAAATCGGCAAGCTTTAACAGTACAAGCCCTGTTAGTGATTGCATTCTACATCACTACTTTGAATGAATAATTTAAACTAAATATCTAACATAATGGATGAACTATTACAGTCTCTACTATAAACCTATGCACAGAATCTGATGCAAGATGTTCTGAAGATGAACTTCAGCATGCTCAAAGTAGCCTCATTTATGCGTAAATGATTTGTCTGTGGCCTGAAAATCTCCACTAGAGCACAATAAGTTCATCATTATCCAGATTACGGCTGGATTTTGAAGGTTAATGAATGGATGCCTCTCAGAAGCCAGTTGTTGGTCTTGCTTAATACATTAAACTTGAAATATCAACCGGTTGTAGGAAGTACCAGAAACCTCAGGCAGAACAGCTCCTAATTGGGCAATTAGCGCCTTAATTAAGCAGCCTGGTTGTATATTTGGGGTAATTTATCACAGTGAGACAATAGACAACCAGGCAAGAGCAAGAAATTAGGTGAAGATTATGCAAATGACCCTGTTGTCTCTGTTTAAAATGAGTGTCTGGGTGTGTTTCCATGCATATTGGTTTTGTGTGTATGTGCATATTTTTGTGTTTTGTACTGGAAATCAGGGGTCTTATCTATACACTCTGTGACATTTCTGTGGTATTTGTTTTGGCCTTTTCTCTGGGAGCCAAACTAGCTGAGGTCTTGTGGTATGGATGGTGTCTTTGTCAACTCTGCTTAGCAGCAAAATACCAGGCACCGCTATCTGCAGTGACTCATACAATCTCTCTCTCTCTCTCTCACACACACACACACACACACACACACACACACACACACACACACACACACACACACACACACACACACACACACAATACGAGAGTTTCAGCCAGGTTTCTGATCCAGAGTGATGCTGCTGGGATTAAATTGGGTTTCATTTGCCAGAGATATTTTAAGTGATGTTACAGCTTCTCACAACACATTAGTAGTGGTTTGTCTTAGTCCAACTTGAAATATTCACAACATGCGTGATAAAATGCCAGCTATCAGTTTAACACAACACGAGATTTCAGCAGTGGAGAAACAGATTTCGAACAATATAATGATGATGGGACGACAGGTGAGGATTTTAATACAATTTCATAGAGCAAAGAAGTAGACAAACCCATCATACGGCACGCTGTGGTATAAGTCTGGAGGACTCGGACAACGTGATGTTTTCTGATCTACTTAATCCTGCTTGTTATAGGAAAACCTTTTATTTACACAGGTCTGTCCATTGAGTCTCTCATTCATAATATGTGTTGATCTCATCAAAGTGTGCAGCTCGCTCACCAAAGATGATCAGACGAGTTGTGAACAAGCCAAAAGTTTAGATTATTTGGAGGGAGACAGAGGGAGCATACCTGTAATGTCAGTAATAATCTCTCAATGCAGAGAACTGTGGGCAAGAATGGTGGGTTTAACTTGAACCAGGAGTTCTGTCTGGAAACTGTGGCGATGTTAACATGGACCGCTTGTCCTAATGTTCTGATCTAACCTGTTGGCTGTTGTTTACAACCGGTTGCCTGACTGCTTGTGTTTCTTGCCTCGTTGATCCAAATTACATCTATGTTGCTGTGTTCCCGGATCTCAGGGACTGCTCTGTGATACCATAACTGATAGGCCCAAAGACCAGAGCTATGGAAACAGAACCCAGGTTGTAATAAACCGTAGTCTTCCTTTAAGAGGTGTGATAACATCTATTTCATCCATTAAATTTTCAAACAATGTTTTGGTAAAGGTAGCAAAACCTTTTAGTCAATATGTCTAGCTTCACAGTAACTGTCACTGTCCATACACTAAACAGTAGTTTGATGCATCCTTGTTTGCTTGCTACAGCTAATGAGCATTTCAGAGCAGAAAATGATGTGGATTCGATGTGACAATACAGTTTACAGAGTATCTGCTGGAAATAAGGCAACATTATACACAAGAGACTACAGTGGCACTGTAAATTCAGGCAAGGTCAGTCAGTTTAATGAGGGTCGCAGAAGCATTTATGTAAGTGTCCATGTCAACAAACAGAGTCTCTTTTATCGAGCTGTGTTATCTACAGTACTGGCAGAAAACTGACCGCTCCCATCCGGCTGCACTTTGGAGAGACTTTGTAGTTGTCTCCCCTTTCAACTCTTTCTTTGCACTCCCTTCACTCCCAACCCTAAGTCACTGTGATAAAAATCAATCTCCCTACAGACTGTTTAAAGCATGGGAAAAGGGTCTTATGTTCTGCCAGTTGTCACCTACGGAGAATCTTATTGAAAAATTGCAGACAATGATAAAAAAAGGAACATTACATGCTGCCAGACAAGTGAAGCTCAGCCAAGAGTGAGTAAAAGTGAGCTTAGCTGACTGGCTTATGTGACAAATCCCCAAGTAGAGCAGAGATGACGGCTCAGATACATCTCTATCAAGTGTCTCGTACAGGAACAGCTGCCAAACACTCAGGTGAAGATGCGTCAGATAGATCGGATCTCGGAGTAAGAGAGGCTCCACATGAAAGCAGTCAAAGATGGATAACGGCTATATAAATCGACTACAAATACTGCCTACGGAAAAAAACTCTTATGTTGTATTTAAAAAGGGCTGCTTTTCTTGTTTCAAGTTACAAAAATCCATATTTTCACATGAATGAATGTCACTTTTCTTTGTCAATGTGTGAATCAACACAGTAGCAGTGTCACTTAATCTGTGACAACAGAAACAATACCGTTGGATAAAAGAAATGTGCTCGTAGGAGTTTGAAGACTTTTCCATTTTCAATCCCTCAAAGCTGGGATGCAATTGTTTCATCTGCTGGCAGAAAGCAAGCAGTCAGCAATGACACAGCAGGTAGGCTGATCCCAACACAGATATTTAGACAAACAGCTCTGGAGTCAGAACAGGAAAGATCATTAATAGTGCAAGGAGTCAAACATGACATAACTTTTCTGCCCAATAAAAAATATTTACACACTCTGTAGCCCTGGTGATCAATATTAATCAATTTTAATTTTAGATCATCTAGATAATCAGAGACATTTGGAGGACAAATCTAAAAATAAGATAGGAATTAAATTAAAATCTACA